GGTAACAGAAAACTCAGCTAATGTTCCTTTAAGCAAAAGGACACATCGCCGCCTATGTAGCAAGAAGTCTGGACTTTTAACCAGGCACGGTGGCTCACGCCTGTAATCCCAGCACTTTGGGAAGCTGAGGCAGACAGATCATGAGGTCAGGAAACCTTTTTTCTTTATTAATTACCCAGTCTAGCCAAGCGCTGTGGCTCACGCCTGTAATCCCAGGACTTTGGGAGGGCGAGGCAGGTGGATCACTTGAGATCAGGAGTTGAAGACCAGCATGGACAATATGGCAAAACCCCATCTCTACTAAAAATACAAAAATTAGCCATGGTGACAGGCGCCTATAATCCCAGCTACTTGTGAGGCTCAGGTAGGAGAATTGCTTGAACCCAGGAGGCGGAGGTTGCAGTGAGCCGAGATCGCTCCATCGCACTCCAGCCTGGGCAACAAGAGCGAAACTCTGTCTCAAAAATAATAGTAATAAATAATAAAATAAAAATTTTAAAATTACCTAGTCTCAGGGAAGTTCTTTACAGCAGTGTGAGAATAGGCTAATACACTGCCCAGAGCTCCCCATCTACGTGACAGAGAAGCACGGATGTCAAGGTAGACACGGAAGGTGTCCTGGCACCCAGGGAGCAGCTGATGTTCTCCATCTCTCACAAACACACTCTTTCTCCCTCCTTTTGAAAAGGTCAGGAAATGGCCAGGTTTAGTGGCTCACGCCTGTAATCCCAACACTTTGGGAGGCAAACGCAGGTGGATCACTTGAGGTCAGGAGTTTGAGACCAGGCTGGCCAACATGGTAAAACCCCATCTCTACTAAAAAAAAAAAAATACAAAAATTAGCCAGGCATGCACCTGTAGTCCCAGCTACACAGGAGGGTAAAGCACAAGAATCGCTTGAATCCAGGAAGCGGAGGTTGCAGTGAGCCGAGATCAGGCCACTGTGTTCCAGCCTGGGCAACAGAGCCAGACTCTGTCTGAAAAAACTAATAAATAAACAATAAAAGCAAAAGCCAGAAAGCCTCTTCTCGTGAAGACATGTTCCGCCACGGTCTAGAGTAGCAGTTCTCAGAGTGTGGCACCCAGACCCCAGCGTTTGCACACCTGGGGCAGTTCTGGAGCCCCAGTCCCCAGCCCTGATCAGAATCTCCAGCGATCCGCACTTGAGCAAGCCCTCCAGGTGATGCGGATGCATGGTTTCATCTCACAGGGTAACTGTTTGAAAAAACACCCATCAGAACTTTGTGGCCCTGCAGGTGAGGAGGACGGAAGCCCGTGGGCACAGGAAGACAGAGGTGAGGAAGCCACGGAGAGCAGGTGGATGCGGGAACGGGGCTGTGTATGTGCTGAGACCACACCCTGGAGTCAGAGAGAGAAATAGATCCGGAAGTGTAGGAGCGGCTCTGTCTCCAGGGTCCTGGACTCCAGGCTGAATTTCACAATTCTCAAAGGGGCTGGGTGGGGAGGGAGCAAATGGTATGATTTGTGTTCTAGAATGCCGGCTCTCAGGAGCCTAAGCGGGCTGACAAAGGCAGGAGGAAAAGGGCCCAGAGGAAAACATCAAACATGTGGAGATGTGGAAGCCAATTAGCCAGTCCCACGGGCACAGTTTCCATGCTCAGAGATTGCCGCTTGGCCAATGGCATCCATGCCCATGGCTGGCTCAGGGACTCTGGCATCCTTTAAACATACTAGACTCCCGGAAATCCCTCCAAGGGCTGAGTTGGCCCCAAGCCAGACGGGGTGGTTGCAGAATCCACCTGCCACATGAACAGGATAATTCGGAAGGCTTCCACGTGGGTCTGGTCATTGGAAGCCCTAGAAGCCAGCAGCCCCCTCTCGCCACAGCAGTCCCAAGCCAAGGCCTGGTGTCACTTACCCCTGATGCCACTAGCACTAGAGCTGGAGGAGAAAAGGGAGAAGGTGGCGTCGGCAGAGTCAGAAGCTGTGCTTTGGGAAGGGGAGGGGGAGTCCTTGGCTTGCCAGATTACCATGAGGGGACCGTCAGGTCTGTGCTGGGGTCATGGAAAGAAAGGGACAGCCAGCAGGGACCAGGGACAGAAAGGAAATGAGGAGGCGGGGCACAGTGACTCACACCTGTAATCCCAGCACTTTGGGAGGCGGAGGCAGGCGGATCAAGAGTTCAGGAGTTCGAGACCAACCTGGTCAATAAAGCAAAGCCCTGTCTCTACTAAAAATACAAAAATCAGCTTGGTGTCATGCACCTGTAGTCCCAGCTACTCAAGAGGCTGAGGCAGAAGAATCACTTGAACCAGGGAGGCAGAGGTTGCAGTAAGCCGAGATCGCGCCACTGCACTCCAGCCTGGGTAACAGAGCAGGACTCTATCAAAAAAAAAAAGGAAAAGAAAGAAAGAAAAATCAGCAATAAATACTTCTAGGTTCACCACATTTTCACCTTTTAAATCAGGAATGGTTCAACAGGAGTGAGATAAAACTTTAATATTTTTTGAATGAAGAAAAAGGCCAGGTGTGGTGGCTCACGCCTGTAATCCCAGCACTCTGAGGGGCCGAGGCGGGCGGGTCACGAGATCAAAAATTGAGACCATCCTGGCCAACATGGTAAAACCCCGTCTCTACTAAAAATCCAAAAGTAGCCAGGCGTGGTGGCAGGTGCCTGTTTTCCCGGCTATTCGGGGCAACAGGCTGAGGCAGGAGAATCACTTGAACCCAAAAGGGAGTGATTGCAGTGAGCCAAGATCGCACCACTGCACTCCAGCCTGGCAACAGCGAGACTCCATCTCAAAAAAAAAAAAAAAAAGAAAGAAAGAAAGAAAGAAAGGAAATGAGGGGAAGGGCAGAGGGTAATGGACAGTGGAGAAGCTCCAACAGACAGGGTGCTCCCAGCATAAAGACAGAGGTCACTGAGGACCACAGTGGCATCACAGAGGGAACATGACCACTTCTACAGATGCTTCCAGAAGCAGTCAGAGAAGAACAGAGCTCCTCCCTTGCAATCCCGCATTCTGATTTCCTGCTATGCCTCCTCTGGGCAGAAACATCAGGAAGCCAGAGGCTGGGAAATGAGGTGTGTAGATGCCCACCCCAGCCTGAGAGAGCAGGACACAGAAGGGCAGAGTGGGGCATCTAGAAGGTGGGGCTGATAGCAGCCCCTCAGCAGGCTCAGCCCATTCCATGCAGAGCCAGCCACAGTGTAAAGAGAGCTGCAAGGAAGCCTGGGCTCTTGCCCCAGTGCCCACTTGTCCTACCCCAGCACCGGGATGCCAGGCACCAGGCTGTGTCAGCTACAGCTCATGCATGCACAGCATTGAGCCACGAGGGACCCTGTGGGCCATCAGGTCTAACACACTCCTGATACAGACTGACAACAGAGGGCTGGGCGTGGTGGCTCACACCTGTAATCCCAGCACTTTGAGAGGCTGAGGCAAGCAGATCACTTGAGGTCAGGAGTTCGAGACCAGCCTAGCCAAGATGGTGAAACCCCGTCTTTATTTAAAAAATACAAAAATTAACCAGGCATGGTGGTAGGTGCCTGTAATCCCAGCTACTCAGGAGGCTGAGGCAGGAAAATTGCTTGAACCTGGGAGGCAGAGGTTTCGGTGAGCTGAGATCACGCCACTGCACCCCAGCTTGGGGAACAGAAGGAGACTCATCTCAAAAAATAAATGCAACAACTGAGGTCCAGAGAGGAGAATTGACCTGCCCAGTGTACACAGCTGGGTAGGGGACCATCGTAGCCTCCGGTGAGGATGAGCCTCGGACCTCTCTTTGTCCAGATCAGAGTATTCAATTGATGCCTGCTCTGCAAAATTCCACCTGTCTGTGCAGCGAGACCTCGCAAAGCCATGATCTTGGAAGTCAGCCAATATGATGTGCACAGGGCACGGGGCACGGACCAGGAGGAGACAGCCGTCGGTAAGGGTGTCTGCCCTTACACTGCCTGGGGCCATTCATGGCCTCTAATAGGGGCAGACCAGCGTGTGCTCAGGGCAGAGCATCTGACAGCTGCCTGTCTACAAGGGTGGCAGGATAGCACTGAGCACACGCCCAGGAAAGGGGCCGGACAGAGGGCACATCCCACACGGTCACATGGCATCTTGGCAATTACAGAGTCGTTTAAAGGCGCTTTGTCAGCAATCTGCCCTTAATAAGAAGAGAGGCTCCCAGCTCTTCCCAACCTATTATTATTTGGGGAAGGAAAAGAGAAGTGACCAGGCAAGTGTTCATGGCAATTTCTGCTTTGCGCACAGTTCTGCCCTCAGGGAGCTTGTACGGATAGGACTCTCTGCAAAAGGGCCTGGGTGCAGTGGCACGCACCTGTAATCCCAGCACTTGGGGAGGCCGAGGCGGGAGGATCGCTTGAGGCCAGGAGTTCGAGACCAGCCTGGTCAACATGACGAAACCCCATCTTTACTAAAAACACAAAAATTTGCCAGGTGTGGTGGTGCATGCCTGTAACCCCAGCTACTCAGGAGGCTGAGGTAGGAAAATCGCTTGAACCCGGGAGGCAGAGGTTGCAGAGAGCTGAGATCACACCACTGCACTTCGGCTCTGGGTGACAGAAAAAAAAAAAAAAAAAAAAAGGAAGAACGAAAAAGAAAGATAACTGTGGGATTAAGGGGCTCTTGTTTGCCTGGGGGTTGCCAGAGAAGGATTAGATTTCTGCTGCTAGAGCCCTGGTCATGAGGCTGACCCCAATCCACACTTCCCATTCAATATCCAGCCTCTCCTTTTCCGTCTCTCTCCTCTACCGCGTCCTTCCTCTGTCTCCCTCTCCTCTCTGTCCTACTGCCTTTTATTTCATCTTTTGCCACCTCCTTTTATTTATTGTTGTTGTTGTTGTTGTTTTTTGAGACAGGGTCTTGCTGTGTCACCCAGGCTGGAGTGCAGTGATGTGATCATAGCTCACTGCAGCCTCCAACTCCTGGATTCAAGTGATCCTCCTGCCTCAGCCTCCTAAGTAGCTGAGACTACAGGTGCACACCACCATGTCCGGCTAATTTTTTATTATTTGTAGAAACAGGTTCTTGTCGTGTTGTCCAGGCTGGTCTTGAACTCCTGGGCTCAAGCAGTCCTCCCATCTCAGCCTCCCAAGTAGCTGGAACCACAGGTGCACACCACCATGCCCAGCTAATTTTTTATTATTTATAGAGGCAGAGTCTTGCTATGCTGCCCTGGCTGGTCTTGGACTCCTGGGGTAAAGCAATCCTCCCATCTCAGCCTCCCAAGTAGCTGAAACTACAGACATGTACCACCACATCCAGCTGATTTTTAAATTTTTGTAGAGATGGGATCTCACTATGTTGCCCAGGCTGGTCTCAAACTCCTGCATCGAGCAATCCTCCCACCTGAGCCTCCCAAAGCACTGAGATTACAGACGTGAGCCGCCACACCTGGCCTCACCTCCTTTTTCTTTTTCCGTGAGTGAATTCTAGCTCTGGCGCTTTCTCTGGGACCGAGGGCCCCAGCTATTTAATCTCTCCACTCCCTCATCCATAAATGAGGTACTGTTCCCCAGACACTGCCGCCTATTCACTTACTGTTCCTCAAGTAGACCAAGCACGTTCCCACCCCAGGGCCTTTGCACCTGCTCCTCTCTCATTTCCTGCTGCGAGCACCCTGTCTATTTCAGCTCCTCAGCTGGCCATCACTCTCTGCCCCTCCCCTTGTTTCCCTTCTGTCCCGAGTACTAACCCCTGCCAGAGGGTATATTTCCTATTTATTGTTCAACCTTCTGTTGCCTGTCTCCCAACTAGAAGGTAGATTCCCAATGGCAGGGACTTTGCTGTGTCCGTTGCTGTATCATTAACACTTCACACAGTCCCAGACGCATAGTATGCACTCAACACATGTTGGCCAAGTGGGATGGCTCACACTTGTAATCCCAGCACTTTGGGAGGCTGAGGCAGCCGGATCACTTGAGGTCAGGAGTTTGAGACCAGCCTGGCCAATATGGTGAAACCCTGTCTCTACCAAAAATATAAAAATTAGCCAGGTGTGGTGGCAGGTGCCTGTAGTCCCAGCTACTCGGGAGGCTGAGGCAGGAGAATTGCTTGAACCCAGGAGATGAAGGTTGCAGTGAGCCGAGATCTCGCCACCGCACTCCAGCCTGGGTGACAGAGCAAGACTCCATCTTAAAAAATATATATATCCACGGAATACCTAAATTGTGTCTGTACACTGACTAGCACGGTGCTGGGAACAGAGTGTTTAATAAAGTTAGAGGCAGTGATGAGGATGATGGTCCACATTCAACAAAACTAGGCCAAGCACGGCGGCTTATGCCTGTAATTCCAGTTCTGTGGGAGGGGCTGAGGCAGGCGGACAGCTTGAGGCCAGGAATTCAAGGCCAGCCTGGGAAACACAATGAGACTTCAACTCTATTAAAAACTTTAAAAAATTAGCCGGGCATGGTAGTGCATGACTGTAGTCCCAGCTACTCAGGAAGCTGAGGTGAGAGCATCCTTTGAGCTTAAGAGTTCACAGCCGTCGTGAGCTGTGATCACACCACTGTACTCCTGCCTCGGCAACAGAATGAGACCTTGTCTTTTAAAACAAAAATTAGGCCGGGCATGTGGCTCACGCCTGTAATCCCAGCAGTTTGGGAGGCTGAGGCAGGCAGGCCGAGGTCAGGAGTCCAAGACCAGCCTTGCCAACCCCAACTCTACTAAAAATACAAAAAAATAGCTGGGCATGGAGGCAGGCGCCTGTAATCCCAGCTACTTGGGAGGTTGAGGCAGGAGAATCGTTTGAACCCTGGAGGTGGAGGTTGCGGTGAGCCAAGACCGCACCACTGCACTCCAGCCTGGACGACAGAGCGAGACCTCAGCAAAAATAAATAAATAAATAATAGCTAATAGCACTCCCTGAGTCTTTTACTAGGGGGAGACCCTGAACTGAGCCCATCTCATGCAGTAACTCATTATCATCCGAAGACGCATAACTGAAACAATTTTATAGATCAAGAAACTGTAGCATCACAAGGCGATGGCGTTTAGGTAACATACATGACAGGCCCTGGCTTCCTTCCAGACAGGAAACTCCAAGTAGGGCCCCCAGCACCAAGCTGAACTCCAGTCCCCACCCTCCAGAAACACGAAACTGTAAACAGCGGTTCTTGAGCCTCAGTCTCTCTCCTCCACCGTTGATTGAGCTAACTTCGAAGAAACTGTTTCCCCCATTTTCAGAGCAGGTAGCTGGGAGGAAAAGTAGTAACTAATGAAAGTTTGCAGTAGCACCTGTCACATTAGCCATAGATGGAAGTACATTTGTGAGATTCAGAGGCTGCAAAATAAATCACCACGAGTGAGAATATTAACATTTACTATCACAAGCATATGGCAAATCAGGTCTGCAGAAAACTGATTTAGCTGTGTCCTGCTTTCCATGCAGTCATGTTTGCGTTAACCCAGCGGCACACGACAGCCCTGCCTCTAGCAAGCAAGGCTCTCCTGTCTTGAAATGACTCTAGCTGCCTCCAGGAGTCCTTGTCACAGTAACCTTTGCGTTTCTAGCCCCCTACCTTCCATGTGCCATGCCAGCAAGGGCCTCAAAGGTGACAGAGTGGCCACTAGAAAGGGGCAGGAACTACTGGGCCAACACCCAGGACTTCTGCACTTCCTAACTCACAATGCCAGGAACATGATAATCGCGTCTCACTCGACCCAGACACACAAATGCTCCTAAGCCCCTAAGAAAATGCAAAGTGCCTTTTAATGTCTGATTTCAAGAGCCAAGCTCCAATTCTTGGACAGAAAAAATGGAAGGTGGCCTCCCATCCAAATCGAAGCCACCTAGGGACTGGATGCAAGGAACAGAATCTGCCTGAGACAGTCCAGAATCTGCCCAGATGGAGTCTGCAGGTGCCCTGGGGTCCACGCTCTCCCGGGTGGTGCAGCCCACCTCCATCTCCAATCATATGTGCACACACGTACACATATATGCACAGCATACACACGCACATACCACATGTGCGTAAGTTAAAACGTACATTGTGCACACATGCATGCACACACATGCACACACCATGCACCATATGTACTTATGCACACATGCACCTGCACACACTATGGACCACGTATACAGATGTACAAAAATAAACCATGCAACATGTGTGCATGCACATGCACACACCATGCACCACATGTACATGTGTACAAACACACATGCATATGTGAGTACACACATGCACACACCATGCACATGTATATGGGTACAAACATACACCATGCATGCATGTGTGCATGCACACACCATGTACTACATGTACACATGCACACAATGCACACACAGTATGCACATGTACATGTGCACATACATATATCATGCACACACAGCATGCACCATACATACACATGTACACATGCATACACATACATCTGCAGAGACCACGTATCACATGTAAACATGCACACATGTACATCATGCACACATGCATGCATGCGCCATGTGCACATATCCACATATATGTACACATACACACACACACATAAACACATGCAATCCACACACTTTCCCCTTTGACGCTCTCCAAGGAGCAGAACCATCTATCCACAAAGGCTCTGGAAAGTACAAATTACTAACTGGCCTGCCCACATTCACAGTGAAGAGGTCAGGATGTATGGACATCAGGCTGAGCCCTGGAAGGCATGTAAGGAAGATGCACACAGGCCATGTCTACACAGTATCAGAAACCAGCCTCTCTAGTACATGCACTTTTTTAGCCAGAAATAAACAAAAGCAAAAGAGCTCCAGATACACTCAAATCCCTCCTAGCTGGTGTGCAGACGCGAGCGGCACCCAGACCTGCAGAAAAGTGGGGTTCCTTTGCCCCAAGTGTGGACTGTGACACTGAATTAGAGGGGTGGAGACAGGGAGTCAGACCTGGGAGAATTTTCAGCTGTTTTTAAGACCAACTGGCTCTTTTCACAGATGAGGAAACTGAGTCTTAGAGACCCATTGTCCACTGTCTACCAGTTTGGCAGGCTTCTGTCTCCCTGCACCGAGGATCCCCACACTTCTGGGGTCTTCCAGAAGCTTCTTTCAGTCAGAGAGACCCTAGGTTCCCTCTTCACGGTTCTCCTTCTTCTCCGCATAGTCAAGCCACAGAGCTGACAGCCCCGTAGGCGCAAAGAAGAAACATCCTCTCCAAGACCGAAGAGCCCTGGGCTGGGCACTGTACTTCCATCTCTGGGCCTCAGTTTTCATCTGTGAAATGGGACGATGGGACTCAGCTCCCTTCTAGCTCCGTTACTGCACGACCCTGTGTTACCGCGAATCCAGCAACACCGTCATGCACAGGAAGTTGACCCTCTAGTCCTTCGTGCCCCTGAACTTTTCAGAACTTGCTTCCCCTTCCTGCCCTGGCCCCAGGAGAAAAGCCTGATGCTCTCATATGAGCCCAGTTTCTCAGGACAGGGAGAAAAGATCATTAGGAAAAATAATTCACAATGAAGTATTTTCACCAGAAATAGATCAGAAATAATGCTCTTGCAAGAAAGTTCCAGATACACTCAAATCCCTTTCGGCTGGTGTGCAGATGTAAACAGCAGCCAGATGTACTGTGGGAAGCAGAAAATTTCCTTTTTAAAGTTTCCTTTCTTGTTAACTTTGTTAAGCCCTATCCTATGTAGCAGTGAGACATGCCATGCTAACAGGCACGTAGTACATTCTACGTCCTTGTACTTTAGCCAAGCTATCTGTGCTGGACGTGCTCACAGGCATGCCCCAGCCCTCCACTGCTTTTACCTGTTCAGAAAAATTTAAAGTTGTTAGCCAATCAGGTTTTAGTTTAGACTGTGAGGTCTGGCTCCAGGCAACAGAGATCAGACACAGCAGTAAGGAGGACCCCAAATGTGTAAGGGATAAATTTGTGTGTTTCCCTTTGTTCACTGTACTCCCCTAGCAAGATGGCTAGTGAGGGTACCCTTCCTGCAGCCCAGGAAGTAAAAATTGCATTGCTGGAAGATCCTTTGTCTCAGTGCTGATTTTTCTTTGCAGCACTGAGCAGCTATTTCCAACACCTACAAAAACGTGGGGTTCCTGAAGAGGACAACATTAAACCTCACAGCGACAGGAACAGGCTGAGCTCAACCCTGAAACTGGTCATCTGACACCCAGGGCACCTCCTTGACTCTAGATGTGCCAGAGAGACCTTTACCTTGCAAAGGTGATCACGTTCCCAGCTGAGGCCGGGACGCGCCTCTCCAGGCCTCGGCAGCTTTGAGGTCCCGGGAGGGTCCCTGTTCTACCCACGACTCCATGAATTAATCCTCCCTCAAATCCTGGCAGTGGGAACCAACGCAGAGGGAACGGGGCCAGCTGCCGAAGCTGAAACATGGACAGGCTGGAGTGAGAGAGACGGATGTTACCCCCCTGCTGGGATCTCCGGGTGGAGCCACCCCAGGCGGGCGTGTGGCGGCTCCCAGCTGGACCACGTGCTGGGTCGCCCAGGCCTTTAGCCCCCTGGGGACTGCCAAGGTGCGGGCCGGGGAGACCCAGCAAGGGAGGCCTGCACGTGTCTTCCATGAACCAAGAGCGACCCCTGGTGGCTGCCAGGAGTACTCCTACCATTGCTCCAGCTGCAGAATCCCAAGCCCGCCCGTGCCACCGCAGCCCGCCCGTGGCCACCGCAGCCCGCCCGTGGCCACCGCAGCCCTCCCGTGGCCACCGCAGCCCGGCCGTGGCCACCGCAGCCCGCCCGTGGCCACCGCAGCCCTGCCGTGGCCACCGCAGCCCACCCGTGGCCACCGCAGCCCTCCCGTGGCCACCGCAGCCCTCCCGTGGCCACCGCAGCCCGCCCGTGGCCACCGCAGCCCGCCCGTGGCCACCGCAGCCCGTCCGTGGCCACCACAGCCCGCCCGTGGCCACCGCAGCCCACCCGTGGCCACTGCAGCCCGCCCGTGGCCACTGCAGCCCACCTGCTACTGTACGCCCAGCCTCACGCCTGACGGGGCTCCCTTCTCCTCCCTGAGACAGCTGTCTTCAAAAAGGAGCGACTGTTCAAGAGTCCTGCAGGCTAGGATCTCAACCCTGGAACCCGCCCTGTGTGCCGCCCTAGCGACCTCAGGCTGAAAGGTAGCCCCGCACCAGTAAGGACTCGGGGGCACCCCAGACACCCTGCCTTGGTCCCAGAAGGCCCTCCAAGCCCTCTGCCCAGGCCCCCACTGCCTCGGGTTTAACCTACAACTCAAGGACCACCTCCCTGGAACGCTTCCCCAGAACCGTTCCCTAGAAACATGTTTCTCTTGGGATCACGCCGTCCCAAATAGTGGGATCCAACGTCTGACAAGCTACATGGGGGTTTGTTTTGTTCTGTGTTGTTTTGTTTTTTGAGACAGAGTCCCGCCCTGTCGCCCAGGCTGGAGTGCAGTGGTACTATCTCAGCTCACTGCAGCCTCCACCACCTGGCTTCAAGTGACTCTCCTGCCTCAGCCTCCCCAGTAGCTGGGATCACAGGCATGCACCACCACACCCTACTAATTTTTGTATTTTCAGTAGAGATGGGGTTTCACTATGTTGGCCAGGCTGGTCTCAAACTCCTGACCTCAGGTGATCCACCTGCCTCGGCCTCCCAAAGCCCTGAGATTACATGTTTGTGCCTTTTTTTTTTTTTTTTTTTTTTTTTTTTTTTTTTTTTTTTTTGACACAGGGTCTTTCTCTGTTGCCCAAGCCAGACAGAGTGCAGTGGCACCATTAGAGCTCACTGCAGCCTCCAATTATTGGGTTCAAGCAATCCTCTCACCTCAGCCTCCTGAGCTGGAACTGCAGGTGCATACCACCACGCCCAACTAATTTTTTTTTTTTTTTTTACTTTTTGTAGAGACAAGAGTCTCACAGTACTGCTCAGGCTGGTCTTGAACTCCTGGCCTCAATTGCTCCTCACAAGTTGGCCCTCTCAAAGAGCTGGGATTATAGGCCTGAACATCTATGCCTTGTCACATACTTGGTTATTTGTCGTGTGTTTGTTTGTTGTTTTTTGTTTTTGAGACCGAGCCTCATTCTGTCACCCAGGCTGGAGTGCAGTGGTGTGATCTCGGCTCACTGCAACCTCTGCCTCCCCGGTTCAAGTGATTCTCCTGCCTCAGCCTCCCAAGTAGCTGGGATTACAGGCATGTGCCACCACATTTGGCTAATTTCTGCATTTTTAGTAGAGACAGGGTTTCATCATGTTGGCCAGGCTGGTCTTGAACTCCCTACCTCAGATGATCTGCCCGCCTCAGCCTCTCAAAGTGCTGGAATTACAGGTATGAGCCACCGCACCCAGACATACTTGGTTCTTAATCTTTGACTGGACTGGAACTTTTTTTTTTTTTTTTTTTTTTTTGATTGAGTCTCGCTCTGTCATCCAGGCTGGAGTACAGTGGTGCAATCTTGGCTCACTACAACCTCCACCTCCCAGGTTCAAGCAATTCTCTGCCTCAGCCTCCTGAGTAGCTGGGATGACAGGCACCTGCCACTATGCTGGGCTAATTTTTGTATTTTTAGCAGAAACAGGGTTTCAGCGTCTTGGCCAGCTGGTCTTGAACTCCTGACTTCATGATCCGCCCACCTCTGCCTCACAAAGTGCTGTGATTACAGGCGTGAGCCACTGCGCCCAACCTGGAATCAAACATCTTTAACTTCTCCCAGCATTGTCTGAAACTGAATTAAATTTTTTTTTCAGTGAATGAAGGTTTTTAATGCATTCATGTGAATGGTGGGTTCTTAGAGGCGTATTTTTAGATGCAAGAAATTCTTTCTTCTACTGTGGCTGAATATATATATAGCATAAAATTTCTCATTTTCACCATTTCTAAGAACAGAGTTTAGTGGTATTAAATACAGTCCCATTGTCATGCAACCTTCACCACCATCCATTTCCAGAACTTTCTCATCTTCCCAAACCAAAGCTCTGTCTCCGTGAGACGCTTACTCACCATTTCTCCCTCCCGCTAGCCCTGGCCACCATCCTTCTCTCTGTCTCTGTGAATTTGACTATTACAACAGTGAATTAGTGATCTTAACACCATCCAAATCTTGGCTCACTGCATCCTCCACCTCCCAGGTTCAAGCAATTCTCCTGTCTCAGCCTCCCAAGTAGCTGGGAACTACAGGCACATACCACCACACCTGGCTAATTTTTTGTATTTTTAGTAGAGACGGGGTTTCACTATGTTGGCCAGGCTGATCTCAAACTCATGACCTTGTGATCTGCCCGCCTCAGCCTCCCAAAGTGCTGGGATTACAGGCATGAGCCACCACTCCTGGCTAACACCATCTAAATCTTCCTCTGTCTGTGTTCATCCCCTCCTCCCCTATGTGTGGGAATGGGAATGTGGTTAAGTCTTCATAGGTCCCTCATAAGACACACACCCAGGACACAGCTACGCCTGGCCCATGATGAGAGTCAACTCAATTAGAAGCTCATTCATACATGCATGTTATAAACTTTCCCATTTTACAAACTTTCATGCATTTTATTAACATTCCACATGCTCATTGTCCGCACATTCCTTGAGCCTCTGTGGGATCCAGGCTCACGTTCTGTGCCTGAAACACACCTGTGAAGAAGACAGCCATGTCCTCTTTAGAACTGGTATTGGGGCTGGCATGGTTGCTCACGCCTGTCATCCCAGCACTTTGGGAGGCTAAGGAGGGAAGATCACTTGAGGCCAGGAGTTCAAGACCAGCCTGAGTAACACAGCAAAACCCTGTCTCAACAAAAAATATACAACTTAGCCAGGTGTGGTGGTGTCCACCCCTGGTGTGTATGGTTTTCTTGGGGTGGTGTAAAACTTTGCAGTTGACTCCTCCATCCTTGGGGGCCCCCTGTGACAGGGGCAGCCATCAAGCTATGTTAATCCTTTCCTGACCAATAAATGCTGCGGCCATTCCACTCACCTGGCCAACCTCGGGGTAAGTCCTGGTTTATCCTGTTTCTCCTCGCCCTTCAATGCTCCTCCCCACATAGAGAAACTCTGAAGTCTCCTCCTGGGACTGCAGGGAACTGGACAAGACTAGAGAGCCACAGGAGTGGAGGGGAGAGGGTGTCCCCAGCCAGACTCTCACCCGCAGAGCTTTCCAGACCTCAAACAGACCACAGTGACGTCAAACCCTCTCAACAAGCCCATTGGCTGGGTGTGGTGGCTCACACCTGAATCTCAGCACTTTGGGAGGCCAGAGAATGAGGATCACCTGAGGCTAGGAATTCAAGGGCAGTCTGGGCAGCAGACCTCATCTCTAAAAAAAAAAAAAAGTTTAAACTTAGCTAGGTGTGGTGGCGCACTCCTGCAGTCCCAGCTCCTTGGGCGGCTAAAGCAGGAGGATTGCTTGAGTGAAGGAGGTCAAGGTTGCATGAGCTATGATTGCACTACTGCACTCCAGCCTGGGTGACAGAGCAAGACCTTATCTCTTTAAAAAAAAATTAAAGAGCCAGAGGTTATGTGCTGACTGAATAAAAATAGCATACACAAAGGCAGGGATTGAATCCCCCAGCCCCGCCCCAGCCAGAAGAACCCCCAGGTACCCTCCAGTGACTCTTCCCGGCTCTGTCACTTGCTATGGGGACAGAGAAAGGAAGTAGCAAGGAGGGGGAGTCTGGGAGAAGCTGTTCACCTTGCAATCACTACACCCCCTTCATCACCGGATGCTGTGGGCCTGGGTGCCATTTAGCTCCATGTGGGGAGATGGGAGGGACCAGAATTGCCAGCTTGCTGTGCAGTGTAAGCAACCTAATAGCTTTTGTTTTTGTTTTTTTTTTT